TGTGGAGTTTCAGAGGGAAGCAAAGACTCTCCTAGGCGCTGCTTATGTGACTTGCTATTTTTGATTGCGATTGTGCCCTGGTTCTTCCCACTTGGAATTAGAAGGTATGAAATTCTGTTTCCTGGGATTTCTGTGCCAGGGAATGAGCTCGGCAATGGCCCAGACAACCACCAGCATCCCCATTACAAAATCATTGAAAGGAGGGGGGCTTGGACACATACTCAGAGCCCTGTGTTCCCAGCAGCTTATTCCCAATAGCCGAAAGATAGAAGCAAGTTAAATGCCTATAGAGAGATGACTGGGCCAGCATCTCATAGTAGAACAATGCCATGGAATATTACTCAGCTGATATCCAAGATCTGAAATGACACATGCCACAACATGGAAGGACCTTGAAGACACTATCTTAAGTGAAATCAGCAAACAGAATGGACATATATGTCCACTTAAATTGGGTATCTAGTGTAGTCAAAAATAAAAGGCAGTAAATGGGTTAGCAGGGCTAGAAGCTGGGAAGTGTGGGGAGCTGTTATTTAATGGGTGCAGAGCTCCAGTTCTGGGTGATGACAAAGGTTTAACAATGAGTGGTGGTGATGGTTATACAGTGTTGTGAATGAGCGTCACAGACTGAGGTTATTTTAACACACACACACACACACACACACACACACACACACACACACATACACACCCACACACCGAGTAAGTGAGTGACCATGGGAGAATGAAGTGCCTGTGGGGACTTGTGAGGTGAGTTAGGTTCTGGGGAACTATGTTCTCTTGGAGTTAGTTTAAGGATCATCCCTATGTCCTGGTCATGCCTTCGGGCTGTGGGTGAGTGCACAGGTTTGAGGCTTTGGAAGCCTGGAGAGGATGCTTGATTGGCAGAAGCTCCTAGAAGCCCTCTTAGTCTAATTCCCCCTTGCACTAAGCCCAGGCATTATTAAGCCCAAGCTTCAGTAGGTCCAGCTCAATGAACAAAGACAGATGTTAGTCCTGGGCATTCTCAGCCACACTGGGCCGTGGTCACTGGGCAGTTTCCAGCAAGTGGGTGACATCTGTGTGGGGCACTGGGCTTTGTTCTCATCTGTCACAGGAGTAGGACATTATCCAGCAGGACAAGTGGCTGACTTTTCCCCTCCCACCTAGAAGTTTTGTGTGTGTGTTGCTCACATAGTCTTGAGCATCTGTTCCCCTCGATGTCTCTGCTTTCCTTCTCTGTACAATAAGGACAGTGAAACACGTGCCTGACCCCTGGGTGGGGACGACTCCCTAAGGCTGGTGGCAGGTGTCTGGCTCAACAAATGGCAGCCACCGTGGTTATTATCTTCCCCTCACAGCAAAATGCTTCATCTCTCTCTGGCCTTGGCTAGGTGGAATTGAGAGCTGTTTGTTGTCAGCAAACAAAGCTCAGCCTGGGAGGAGACAGGGTGAGTGAAGCTGGAATGAGGGAGGGCATTGCCTGGAGTCCTTGATGCCGGCCTCCATTGCTGCTAGCCCTGCAGCTTCAGCTGGGTGCACCTTGCAATCAGCCAGGATGCAGCAACAACTCACGTGAGGGGCAGACACAGACAGCGTGGGCTCCTGAGACCCTGCTGATGTGACGTCAGACACTGTGTGTCTTTGCATTGGGGAGGGACACCAGCCCCTGTTTTTTTGGGGGTGGAAGTGGCTCAGATGTGCTGAGTGTGATTGAGGGAATTGTGCTGGAGGTGATCCTTGTGCCAGAGCTGCCCCGGCTTGGGTGGGATGCTGAGGAGCTAGCTGAAGCCAGGTTCCCACCTGAGCCTGTGAGGAAGGTATGTTTTCTCTGCTGGCCTCATCTCCTATGCCAAGGTCTGTGCCAGATCCTGTAGGTAGTGTGGGGCTAGGACCGCCAGCCCTAGGAAACACATGCAGAGCACTTCAGAGGCTTTAGAGTGAGGTTCCAAGAGGGAGGTCTCTTGCCCCAGGAGTGTGAAAACCACCCCCTTGGCCTCTCTCCCAGCCTCTGTGGTAGAGAGCAGCGCTCTGAGCAGCTGTGACTACTTGCCAGGGACCCTACAGATGCGACCTGTTGATTCTTGATGCTCCCTCATAGGAGGGAGGAGGGAGGGTCATTGGATCCTCATCTGAGACTCTAGCCATGCCCTCTTTCACCTCCCAGCCAGCTGTATGTGATTCTGCCCTAAGTGCACGCTGGAGCTTGCACACACGTGGCCTCATTGGCTCAGGGAACACAAGAGTAACTGAACTGTCTCTGTAGCTATGGGCAAGTGATTTGGGATCACCAAATGCTTGGTGAGTAAGCCCAATAAACTCATGGGTTCCCTATGTTGGACTTTGGAGGAATCATACTTTGTCTGGTTGATGCCCTATGAGGAGGGAATAGCCATTTGTTAGTGCCTACCCAGGGAGAGAGTTCTGTTAACAGCCTCTGGCCCAGAGACCCCAGCCACACAGAGCTCCTAGTCTTGTCTGCAGTCTGCTGGGCTATTCAGAGGTGGCAGAGGGTAGAGGGCCATTTCTGTTTTGTGCATTGCTGAACCCCTACCTCTAACTACACCTGGTTCCCATAGCTGCCCAGCAAGCTGCAGAGGGCAGAGCAGGGGTGTCTGTTAGATGGCCACCATGCTCTTATGGAATGACTGGGGTCTGTATCATGCTTGAATCCTGCAAGAGCAGCTGCTTGCAGCTGGGACTGACAGGCTGGCAGGAACCCACAGGTACCTTTATGCTTTAAATGGATACAGATGTCCTGTGAAGGAAGTCTCCCCATTATATAGATAAGAAAACTGAGGTACAGAGATAAGTTATGAATTCAGGTGCCACATAGTGGAGCTGAGGTTAGAAACAAGGTGTCTCCAGGTCATGACCATCGTTACCTGCTTCCTCTTTCAGAGACTACCAGGTCACCTGCTGTCTGAGATGCTTTTGGATAGTGACAGACATTGTAGATCCATCCTCCATTCAACACTACGAAAATCTCAGTCCTGAGTGGTAAGTTGGCTGGTTGGGACCCTGAACACATTCTGCAAAGAATGATTTGTTGGTTCTATGGCAGCTGAGAGGACCCTGGACTCTGGAGCAGTCCTTGTCCTCATAGAAGGGTCTGGAGTCCATCTCAACTGCAAGCCGAACTGTCCAGGATTAATTTGAGATGAACTGTGTCCAGGGAGCACCTTTGTAGTTTGCCTTAGGAACCACAGAGTGTGGGGGGCAGGGGAGCCCAGGCCTGGGGTCTTGTGGGGCATGAGTGCTGTGGTGGAGCTGGGAGGCCTTAGGCCATTCTTAGAGACACAGGAAGAGCCCTGTAGCCACCTACAGGCTGGGGGGTAGATGTAGGTATGCCCAGATCTAGGATGGCTTCTATCTCTCCAAGCCTGTCCTGTGAAATACCCTAAGGTGAAATGCCTTCTGAACACCAGAGCTAGCAGCAGGGTGTTCCTCTCACAGCCTGCTGTGGCTGTTTAGTGTGGAAGATTAAAAACAAAACACCAAAACAGAAAACACAACAAAACAAAACAAACAAACAAACAAAAAAAAACAGTAAAGCTCAAAGTTTTGGGGCTGGAGAGGTGGCTCAGCAGTTAAGAGCCCTGGCTGCTCTTCCAGAGGTCTCCGACTTGATTTCCAGCACCCACATGGTGACTTAACAATTTCTAGTCCCAGGGGCATCTGATGCCCTCTTCTAGCTGTCTTGAGCACTACATGCACATGTTGCATTAACATATATGTAGGCAAGATACTCATATATGTAAAAGTAAATGAAAACAACCCTACTAGTTTCTTCTGAATACAGAGTACTTTAAAATCTTTTTCTAAATTCTTTTTACAAGTATATACTATTTTTTTTTAAAATTTGCTTGTATAGATATGGGCATGTGAATACTGGTGCTGTAGGAAGCCAGGTCCCCCTGGAGCTGCCTGACACAGGTGCTAGGAATTGAACTCGGGTCCTCTGCAATGCTGTCTTAGCTGCCAGTCCTCTCTCAGCCTACTCACACATATTGTATGCTGAACATACCCACCTTCCCTTCCCCATCTCCCTTTCTTGCCTCTCCTCTCCCATTAGTCTCTCTTGTTCCCTTAGACCAGCAGCTCTCAACCTGTGGATTACAGCCCCTTTAGCAAACCTCTATCTCCAAAAATACTTACAATTCATATCAGTAGCAAAATTACAGTTATGAAATAGCAACGAAAATAATTTTCTGGCTGGGGGTTACTACAACATGAGGAACTATATTAAAGAGTCACAGTGTTAAAAGGTTGAGAACCTCTGCCTTAGACAATCCTACTTCTCCTAGGATTACCATAGACACACATGCTTTTATGTGACTGTATAAAATGTAGGAACCACAATAAGAATATATAGAGCATCTGTCTTTGTGAGGCTGGCCTAATTTGCATAATGGTCTCTCAATGCGGGCTGCTTTTGCACTCTTGCTAAGCCATCCTGAGTTGATGGCATGGAGTCTAGGAAGTCTGCATAGGAAGCTGCGATGCAGCTCATGGGTTATTCTGCCTGGCAGCTCCTCACCACCTCACCCCTGCTATAGGCTGAGAGCTCCTCGCTGCTGCCAGCCACCCTCCCTGGGTGTATAACGTTTGATGTGTGATAGGTATGCTTTCCAGTAAAAGACTCAAGTTTGTGATAGGCTCCTGGGCTGACGGGACTCATGGGCGTTCGGGAGGTTGGCAATGAATGCATCTTACTGTCCCAGCTTTTTAGTTTTTCAAATTGCTCCCATGCCCTCCTATTCTTTTGTCTTTACAGTTTGGTCCTTTTTCACTCTTTTAGGTTGTGTTGAGGGGGACAGAAGAAATGATGCACGTGCCTAGTATATCACATGCAGTCAGAAGTCAGTGTCTATTTAGAAAATATTTCTGTACAGGTCTATGGAACCCATCTTAGTTTTTTGCATAGATGGTCTTATGTTTTATTGTTGGAGTTGCACTGAGTCCTGATCTAGCTATTCCTCTTACCCAGGCTTTAGGAAGGGTTTTCAGTGAATCAGCAGTACATTTTAAATTTTTATTTTAATCCACTGCCATCCCAATACAGCTTGGAATGCAGTGATCATGGTCTTTGGATCAAGAGTGGCTCCATGAAAATTCTCATGTTGATTATTTTAATCCTGAATATTACACATCACAGGAAAACTGAGTGTTTGTCTTCTGCCAGCAGCAAGGGCACAAGGCTAACAATGATGGCCAAGGATGAAGGGGTGGGGGGGGGGGAAGGAAGGATACAGACGCATACCCCCACCCACCCCAGGGTTTTCTAGAAGCATTTATATTTTGAAGATTTCTCATGCCTCCTTTGGTTTGAGAATAAGGAACTCCCAGGCTGGGCCAGTGAGCTTGAGGCATGTTGGAGCCTTGTTTTCCCTTGAAGAACAGAAAGTGTTTTAATATTAGGGGAGCTATGTGCCCAGGCTGAGCAAAAACCTGGAGGCCAGTAAGGGGCTTCAGGGAAAAAACTTCAAAGCTGGGTTAAAGCCAGCACCTGGGCTAGCCTGGGGCAGATAGGACACTGCTCCACACACTGAGGGGGGTCTCTCAGCTTCTCGCCATTAGCACAAAGAAAGCCCTGTGTGGCCCCATTGAAATTTCAGTGCATATAGGAAAGCCCTCCCAACCCAAACCAAGAACCAAGCAAATCAAAACATGGGGATAACTGGGGTGGGTGGATAGGGCAATAAATAAAGGTGTGTGTGGGGTGCTGAGTGAGGTGGTAGAAAAAGGGGCTTTCTGCCTAGGAGGGGTGCAGCAAGGCACTAGGTGGGGGCAAGCACTTGGCCCCCAAACACTGGTTTGTTGAGTTGGAGGTCAAGGCCATCAGGGTGCTTGAGAGACCTCAAAGACCTTCAGAAACGAGCCAGGAAGCCTGGCCCTGTGTTCTCTCCCCGAATCTTCCTCTGGAGGGTCTGCCTCAGCCTAGGGATGCCAGGTGACCACATCAGCAGCGGGGAGTTGTCCAGGTATGTCTTTTACCTTGGGCAGAGAGAGAAAAAGACCACTGAATAGTGTGTCGTGGTGGCTTCCTCCTCAGTTGAGTGACAAGCCAGCTTTGGGATGAAGCAGCGAGGCAGGTCGAGACTGCACATCAACCTGCACTGTCCCCTGTGCTGTGTGCTCACAAGCTATCTGCACACCGCGCTTCGGTCTGTCTGTCCAAAACTGGGTCATCTTCAAGACAGCAACCTCAAGCACCACATAGGTTCACCCTGGTGTGCCCAAACTCGCGGTGTCAGCGCTGGGACTACATGAGTCCTATAAAAGACTGCAGGAGGCTGTAGAGAGGGGACAGGACCCCCTCCCCATGCCTGCCTACTGCTGTCTTCCTCTCAGTACCCCGTGCTTTTGTGGGAACCATGGCACAGGGAATGGGATGGTTAGTGTACACAGGCTACTTGAGGGAGACCCCGAGGGGCACATCAGATGTTGCTTCCTGCATGGGCCTGTGGGCTGTAGGCCAGGGTTGCCCAGCCTAGCTGGGGCTGCTCTTTAAAGGAGTCCGTGCCTTCTCCAGGTTGAGAATAGGAAGCACCCCACATCATGATGCTCCTATGCTGGACCAGTGAGCATGAGGCAGGGTGAGAGCGCTGTTTTCTACACCTATCATGTGTACACCAAGGCTCCCAGAAAGCCAGCCTTGGCGGTGGTGGGCTCTGGAGAATAAGGGCAGACCCCACTCCACTATTCCCAAGCCAGGCTCAGTGAGGACCGCCTGTAGCTGTTAGGAGAAAGGCTGACAAGGGTCAGGAGCAGAAGACGGTGGCACCATTCTGAGTCCGTCTGGTCGGGGCTGGGTCTGGCTAACCCTTATTCCCCACTGCCCGTCATGGAGCTCAGTAAACACGAAGAATTGAAAATACCATGGGGGGCAGGGTGGAGGGGATGAAGATGCTGCTGAAAACGCAGAGCGAGGCAGTACTCACCGGGCACCCTGGGCTCAGGCTGGGGTGGGGTGCCTCCCTGTGGGTCTGAGGCACCTGTCCCAGTCTCACTGGCCAGGCTGCTCTGACTGCCCGAGAGATGGCTGGGTGGGCAGGCAGGCCCCATCCTGGGTGACTCCATGCTGCCTCCTGCAAGAGACATGTATGGATGGGAACAGAGATGTAACTGGGCTGGCCAGCAAAGAGCCAGCTACGGTTTTTTTTTTTTTTTCTTTTTTTCTTTTTCTTTTTGCTTTTTTCCAGACAGGGTTTCTCTGTCTTGCTTTGGAGCCTCTCCTGGAACTAGTTCTGTAGATCAGGCTGGCCTCAAACTCACAGAGATTCGCCTGCCTCTGCCTCCCAAGTGCTAGGACTAAAGGTGTGTGTGCCACCAATGCCTGGTTGAGCCAGCTAAATTTTATCTGCAGTTGTGGGTGGTAACTATGGACTGTCTGCCCAGGAGTTCCCACCCACATGCCTGCCTGTTCTAGTCAGACCTCTACCCTCTGCTGATTGACCCAAGACACATTAGACCAACAGAATGGGCTCTTTCCCTGAGTGACAAATTACTGATGAGAATATTGGCAATTAGTAGCTTTCCCTACCTTCACAGAGTTAGGGGTAGGGAAAGGGGATGTGTGTGTGTGAGAGAGAGGTGGTATTAAGGTAGCACTTGCTACCTGTACTACTAAAGACTCATGTATGTGTGTATTTGTGGGTTTGTGTGAGTGTTGAAACTGGAATTGGGAGGGAGAGACCTTGAGGGAGATGACATATAGGGTAAGGCAATGCAGCTTCTACAAAAACATGAAGGGGGCTGGAGAAATGGCTCAGCGGACAAAAGTTGTTTGCCGACAAGCCTGTCACCTTGGGTTCGATTCCCAGACTCACGTGGTGGAAGGAGAGAACTAACTCCCGTAAGTTGTCTTATGAATGCGCTGTGGCCTCCAAGCCAATAAATAACTGGAAGGAGGAAGGTAGTGGGCGGGGAGAGAGCAGATGAGAGATGTATGAAGATGACACTAGTATTCAAGATGATGCTACCCAGCTGAGAGTTGGTGTGGAGGGAGGAGCCCGTCCTGAAACCAAGGTTGGTAGGCAATTTGTATGACATTATCCTGGTGGAGGAGCATCTTGGGGCTGCTGGAACCAAGTCCAAGTAGTTTTTACCTCTTGCCTCATCTCCCTGATACTGACCACGTGGGAAACTATTAAGGAGGATTCTAAAGGCACATTGGGGCTCTGAGGGAAAAAGCATCATAGTCAACTAGTAATGTCTGCCATGGCACTGGACAGAGAGGTGATAGTGTGTGTGCCAGGTATTGACTACTTCTGACTTAGCCCAAATTTTTGTTCCCAACAAGGATTCCTTGTCATCTTTGGCCTGAGGTCATAGTCTTAGCTACAGGACAGCACCTTAAGGCATTTTATTCCAGTTTGGTACAGATGTTGTTTTTTCAAGACAGGGTTTCTCTGTATAGCCCTGGATGTCCTGGAACTCATTCTACAGACCAGGCTGGCCTCAAACTCACAGATCTGCCTGCCTCTGCCTCCTGAGTGCTGGGACTAAAGGTGTGCGCCACCACTTCCTGGCTTGGGCCAGATACTGTAAGGCTCACTCTGTACACACCAATATCAGCCTTCCTGAAACTTCCTTTGTTGGTCCTAGCTCTGACCCAAGCAGACAAAGGAAGCTGGTGCTTTTCTCAGAAGGCTCTTCTTGTGTTGAAGAGAAGGAAACCTTCCATTTTCCTTTAGCCTCTCTGCTCCTACCTCATTGCCCAGGTTAACCCATGTCAGGAGACAGAAAATGGGCTCTATGTGAGAAGGGGCTTTGAAGATGGCCTGCTTCACCTTATTTGTGTTGAAGAGAAGGAGGTGCCAGTCAGGAAGTGATGGCACATGCTGGGGATGCAATGTATGGCCGAAGGAACTGTACCGAACTTCCACATCCCTGTGATGTTTATAAGGCAAACAGCAATGCTGACCAGGGCGTTTCCTAGAAAGAATTACAGAGGGCGTGGCCCTGCTGGCCCCACCCCTTGTCAGTCCTGCCCTTCTTCCTTATCCCCTCACATCCTGGGGAGCCTGGCCTCCCTGGTTTACTCCTTCCTGGGGACATAGGGACACCAGTGGAGAAGCTGCCACCAAAGAAATCAAAAAGCTACTCTGCATACTTACCTGAGTCCCCTCTAGGCTTGTCACCTTTTGTGCCCTTGACCACAGTGGGCATGGCTTTGTCCTCCAGGCTGGAGGAGCTGAGATCCGAGTCACTGTCACTGGAAACCACTGGAACAGATGAGAGCAGAGGATGTCATGATTTTATATTGCTTGGACAGAGTGGGCCAGGGTAGACGTCCCTCCGGCCACCTGCCACCACAAAGTGTCCTAGAATTTCAGTTAGCCCTTTCTCTGGAGCATGAGAAACAGGAATTCCTTGCCACCAGCTGAGGATGTGAGACCTGGTGTGAGGAGGCAGACATGGACCTCACATGCCTGGCACCATTAGGGAAGGCTGGTCCTTTAGCCAGCCATCTCTTGCATCATGGCCTTACCTGTGGACTGGAGTCCTTTTGCTTGGTAGGAGTGGGTGCCCACCTTTAACGTAGGCACAGGGACTCTGAGGCCTCTGAGTGGCCACAATAAACAGCAAGCCATGGCTTCATAACAGACATCACAGCTAGCTGACTCTCAGGCAGCAATGACAGGCTTTTTACACACATGAACTCAACAAAAGCTTCAGAATGGGAGGGAATAGTCCTGCCCCATCACTCAGGCAGGAGACTGGGCATGAGCCTGTAGCAGTCAAAAGATGTTCCTAACCACTTAATGCTCATCAGCCATGCACCACAAGGAGCAAGGGCTCACTGGGAGCCCTCAGCGAACACCCTCTTTTCTGCACTCGACACCATATTTGGCTGGTTCATCGACTGTGGGCGTTGTAATACAGGATATATTCATCCTTCAAACATTCTATTTTAATTTTAAGCAGGGATGTACATCCGTGTGCCAGCCTTCTGAGCCTGGGTGTTTCTCTGAGTACCGACCCATGTGGCCCAACCTGTACCATGGCCCATGACTCTGGTTCATGTTCTTGTCACTGGAGCTTAAGGACTGTGGCAGATAAGACTTGACAGCAGGATCTTCCTAAATTTTTCCATATCTTCCTTCTGCTTTTACAGTTGTCCTGCCTACGCCTAATTCAGTAGATTTAAAAAATTAAAAAAAAAAAAAAAAAAAAAAAAGGCAAGTTGCTCCTTCAAGTTTTACAAAATCTTGCTTTTAATGAAACAGCTCTGGCCTCTTTTCTGACTCTTTGTTAATTTACATAGCATGTAGCTAAGTGATAATAAAGCTAAGTAGGTGAGGGATGGAAGATAAACTGCTCTCTCTCACAGGTGACTGCCTCAGGGAGGGTCACCTGCACGGGTTCAGGGTTCAGAGCTGTGTGCTTTCCTTTGAAATGCCAAGTGCTGGTTTGGGAGGGATCAGGGTGGGCTGAGGTCTTATTACAAAGCCCTTCACTAGGCTCTCAGCAAGTGAGACTTCCTCCTCCCAACTCAGGAGCCATGGCAGATGAGCGCCAAGGCTCCCTATCGAGACTGGCGACCAGGCTCCTGCTGACCCGCCAAGCTCTTTCTGGGGCTGTCTTCTGAGATCTCAATGAGGCATGACAGAAGTGCTGGTCAGTTAGGGAAATTCTGTATGGGAACGAGTGGAGGAAATGGGCCTTTCACCTGGATCCAGAACCTTCTAGAAAGTCTGTGTCTCAGTGTATACCATCTTCTGGCTGAGGGACTCAGGCCACAAAAACAAGTAGCCAAAGAGATTATTAATAGCCAGCACACAGAAGATGCTTTGTGAAGGTCTGATAGCCAGCTTGCCTCAGTTTGCCTGCCCTGTCAGCATTAACCATCAGAATGGATTTTTTTTTTTTTTTTTTGGGAGACAGGATGGTCTTGAATTTCTGATCTATGTGCCTCTGCCACTTGCATGCTGAGAATTTGGGCATGAACCATCATGCCTGGGTTTGTTTGCTTAAAGATTTTTATTATGTTTTAGTTGTTGAGTGTGATGTCAGTGCAGGTATATGCAGGTGAGTGTAGGTGCCCATGGAGGCCCAGAGGCACTACATGTGCCTGAAGCTGGAGTTATGGAAGGTTGTGCGCCCTCTGATAGGGGTATGGGACTGAACTTGGGCCCTCTACAAGAGCAGTATGCAGGCTTAACACTGAGACATCTCTCTAGCCTGTAGCATGCCTGGTTTTATGATGCTGGGCCCATGTCCAGGTCTTTGTGCATGCCAGGCAAGCACCCACCAACTGGGCACTTGCCAGCCACCCCCTTTCAGGAAACGTTGAATCTGTCGCCTCCTCACCATCAGCACTAGATTTACTTCTTCCAAGACCTTTCTTTGCCCCACCAGGATGGCTGTAACAATGTCTCTTCCTGTCAACTCTCCCTCTGTACTGTCAGGGTGTTCCAGCCAACACAGATCTGTTGAAAGGTTCCCATCACCTAGAGGGCCAAGCCTACACCCCTGTCTACCAAGAGGAGGCTTGTGAGCAATGAGTATGTGACTATCCCTGGCCATTCTCCCTCTGCTCCAGCCTCTTAACCTTTTTATGGTTTTCTCTCTCTCATATGCCACTGGCAAGACTTCTGATTTGGCCTTTTGGGGCAGAACCAAGAGGCAGTGGGGATGGGCTCATGTGCCCTTTTATGGTCCATGAGAATTGTAGGTAAGAACCTGACTTACATTGTAGTTCCACAGAGACCAACCTACAGGCATCATCAGTGCTACAAACATGTCATTTTGACTCATCGCTGGGCTGAGTAAACCCTGACCCCACAGGGCCCCAGACACAGGAGGTAGGAGGCGGTAGGCAGGAAATGGGGCTGCTGTTAAGACACCTGGAACAAGCAGCTCTCATGTCCCCTTTGAGGCAATAAAGGACCATAGGATGGGAGCTAGCTACTGCTAGTGGAGGTTAAGACAGCACCTCAGAGGAGTTGGTGAGTGACCTCCACAGTGGTCTCTCCATCTCTCTGGAAGAGACATTTGTGCATGATCTGTCAATCTTCCATCCTCCCTGGGGCTGATCTGGGGACTTTGCAGTTAGGAGCTGGGCTGGGCACAGGGCTCTGAGATGCTGAGTGACACAATGGACAGATGCCAAGGGGGCTCAGCAGGGACGGTGGGGTTGAATGGCCCAGGAGTTGGTTCTGGTGTCATCTATTGTCCATGTTCCAAGAGTGGGTTTGGAAGCAGGCTCAAGTTGCTAGATAGGATTTATGGAGAGTTTTAGGTCTTGTCCAAAATAGCACAGCCCTGGAGGGAGAGGGTGCCTATCACCTGGTCCCAAGGGCACCTGTGCTGTACAAGGACTAAAAGAAATCACAGACAAATCCCGGAAAGATCTCCACCAGTTACTCCCATTTGACTCTTTGTTTCCTGTGACAGAGCCCAAAGGGTTCAACCATGGAAAAGGGGGAACAGTTGCCAGTGACATTTGATCTCAGAATGGGATCACCCAGCCGACCCCAGCTGACCCCTTGCCTGGCCTCTCTTTTTCTACCCAGGGTTTTAAGCTAGGTCAGGTTTTGGTATCAAGTGTGGCATTTGTGCATACATAGAAGCCTGAGGTGTCTTCCTCTATCTCCTTCTACCTTGAGACTCACTAGCCAGGAGCTTATCAATTTAGCAAGACTATGAGGCCTTCCCAGTGCTGGTTTTACAGGTATGACTGTGTCAGCTTTTCACATGGGTGCTGGGTAGCAGAGCTCAGGGTCCTTAGGCATGTGTCTGCCCTGTGCCTGGGGGCTAGGCTATAGCCATCAGGTCTTTGTGACGAAGACTCAAATCCCACCTCCAATCTGCTCTTAGAAAGCTAAAGAAGGCAGTGTTGGCCAGTGGCTGGCCACTTATAGTCATTGGGGAAAGAGATCCAGAGGAGGCTGCGTACCTACACCTGGGTCTCGCAAATAATACCTAAGTAGTCAGTTGCTTCTTCCAGTGGTCAAGGAAGCAGCCTCCTTCTCTTTTTCCTGTTCCCATGAAACCCAAACCTTAGTGGGTATTTGCCACCTGGGTACCAACTCTGTCTTCCCTCCAAGTGATGGCTAGGACTGTAAATCTTCTAGGGTCTAAATGAAGCTTTTAGGCTCATAAATCTTTGGCCTCTTTCATCCTCTACAAGGTGCTAGGAGTGGCTAAGGGCCAGATGTGGGGCAGGTTGGGGGACAAGTGTTTGTATTTTGCCACACTTTGGCTTTCCCACAGAAGGTAGGAAATCTCAACTGGCCTGAGAGCCTGTGGGAGGCACCCTCACCTGCACTCACAGGACTCCACCACAAGGCAGGACGGGGAGGCTCTCATCTTGGTCTCCTTCACAGATATCTGACTTCCTGGTCCACTTCCTGGAGGCCCTGGCATCCCTGAGATTTTCCCATCATGCTGGGCCCTCATCCTCAGCAATGGATGGGCAACTTAGAGCCAGCCAGGTCTGTTTCTCTGGGGATGGGCAGTTTTATTTTTTTCCCCTTCTAGCTCATTCTTGGATGGATTTGCAATTTGACTGTCACCATGGAAACTCGAGTTTTGGTACATGAGGCGGGTGTTGGGGAGGGGGACTCTTCCTTTTTGGAAAATCTCCCTTGAATGTCTCACGGGACACATGTGGCAGCTGCTGTCCTGTCAAGACACCTAGCTGGGATGGCTCAGGGTACAGGGATGGGGGCCTGGGGCCCTGTCTCCAGGCTCTGCTTAGCTATTACTCTCTCCACAATCCCACACACCTCTTCAAGATTTATGGCAAAGACCAAGAGACTGACCCAGCAGCTACCTGGGTGTGAGGTCAGCCCGGTAGCAAGCAGACAAGCTGCTGATATTATGCTCTGATTGAAGGTTGGGAAACCATGTCCCATCTGGACCACACCACATCCACCTGTCTGGTGCAAAGATGGCGGCAGGCAGTGAGCTTGGAAGACCTCTGGGAGCAGCGGCTGTTCCGCTCCAAGGAGCCCAAAGTCTCCAGAAGCTATGGAAGTTAGAAGTAAGGAGATATTTCTAACATCCTGCCAAGAAGCAGCAGATGGTGGAAATTTTTGCATACTAAAAACAACAAAAAATATTTTTAACGTAAAGGAACGACAATCAAGGCCTTGGGGAGGGCACAGACACCTCCAGTGAGTCCTCCTGGGCCACCAGACTGGCACAGCACAGATGCAGTTGGCCCTGCCAGGATGGCTAGAGCACCCCTAATTCAAGAGTAGATGTGTGGGGGCCC